ACTTTGATCAACTACAAATTAGATTGTACTTCCCTTAAGGATATCAGAAGGAAAACCAAATAAAGTTAATTCAAGCTTTCAACACTTATGGGATCTCGTATCCATTACGGCGGTCCCTCCGGTTAATCTTAATTCAGAGTTAAGTAAACTGCAGTTAATAAAATGGTGTAGTGTGCTGTAACCATATAGGGAGTATTGCTTGAGTTAAGTAGAATAATAATAACTTTTATTCTTTTGATTTAAAAGGTAATTTAAATTTAATTTAAATAAAAATCACTGTTGTCAAAAATCAGCATAAGATGATTTTTTCTTTCGTTATGTTGTTTATGTTCGTAATTTACTCATGTATGTCCGTATTGTGACGGATTAAGAATGTAGAGTGTATTCTTTGATTCTCTACTGCTGGATATAGGCCTCTCCTTAGAAAAGAGGATTAGGCTACTATTCCACGCTATCCAGACAGGTTGGTATAGGGTTTGTTTCAAGTTTTCCTCCTTTTTGCAGTTTTGTTGTCCTGCGTTGTTTGCTCCCTTAGTTGACTCTTACGACGAGACTACTAAGGACGGAACCCACGGGATGAATAGATGTGGTGACACTCTGTATTCTTAATGCGTCACTACACGGACTCGGATAAATACAAGCATATCATAGAAAAGTCGCATCTAGACACAACAAACGATCGTGCGTACATTCCAAAATTATAATATGTCCTGGGTGGAAATTGAACCCACGTCGTCCGATTTTGCAGTCAGTTTTATGAACCACTAGACCAACAGGCCTGTCCAGATCTGGCCAGAACAGTACGTTTCATGATTCTTTTAATTTTAATTCTTTACTGTTATATTACTTCAAATAGTCTAAAGTTATAAATTGAAACCAAATACATTGTATCATAGAGCTAATTAAAACATATCTTCAGGCTTTCTGAATAGCATGATAACAGTCTTACCTTCTCAGGTTGTGATATCGTTGTAACAATAGTATCTCTCTAGATCTTAGCCATAACGAGCTATCTAGTACCTAGTTCCCATAAACCCCAGAGGCCTCTAGCTAAGAGACAGGTCACCTTTGATGTCAACACAATACGATGCTATATAGACTTACTGACGCTATCGACTGGTAGACCCTGAACGTACACAATTGTACTAGTTTGTCGTGTCAGGCAACTTTGGATAGTCAAATAGTATACTATTGAATATGTCTTATATTCATTCATAATCTATTGGAACATTATAAGCTGAAGGTATTGTTTGTTTGTTTGGTCGAACGCACTAATCTTAGGAACTGGTTCAAATTTGAAAAATTCTTATAGTGTTGGTTAGATTGAGGAAGATTGTATAACATCATACTATGACCAATAGGAGCCATGCAACAATAAAAAATATTGCAATGAGAAGGAAATTTTGAACCAAACCCTGTACCAGCATGGTACAGTAGGCCAAAACCACCTTTCTAAGGAGAGGCTTATGTCCAGCAGTGGACTATTAAAGGCTATTAATACGATGTCACGTGTAATGCAGACAAATAGTATGACAAGGGCCAATTTAAATTTATTTATTAATTTGTTTGATTGTAACAATTTCATACGTTAACTATTCTACTAATCATCATAAAGTTTTGCATATACGGTTGTTAGGGTGCGGGTGTAAAAAAAAAATTACTCTAGAAATATGGATGTTTGAAAAAGTATAATTCAAGCTAGATATTACAGCCCATTCTTAAAATTATTTGTGGAAATTAAAATAGACTGTAAAAGACCAGCCACGAGTTTGTTACTGAGTTACAAGTGTTCTTGGGCAGATGCTCGTTTTCCTCCAATATAACAAATAAAAAGTATTTTCCTTTAAGTACCTTATCATCTTTTATTATCAACCATTTCTTTAACTGCACCGCTTACATTAATTGATTGACCTATCTCTGCTTATGTGAGAAAAAAGCAAAACAAAACAAAATCTTTGAAAGAAGATATCGTAACATTTTTATACATTTTACTCATCTATATATACTCGTATATATAAGAGATTTCCACGTATATAGTCACTCATCACGATATCTCTGGAACCATTAGAGCCAAAGACTTGAAATTTGGTAGGAATATTCTTTTCACCAAGTAGAGGTCAGCTAAGAAAGGATTTTAAGAATTTTGAATTTCTTTGTTTAAAAAAACAATATTGATTAAAAAATGTTCAAACTAAGTACTTTCGTTATCTTGCTGAACATTTGAATTTATTCGCATTTAATATATCTCGACCCTGATTGCAGCTTAACAAGCTTAAAAAGCAAATCTTGGTTCATATAATTAAACTTCAGAATCTAAGCAAGTTAGATAAATTTTATGATATGTTTGTTTGTTTAAACGCACAAACGCACTAACCTCTTGAACTGTCAGTAAAATTTCAATAATTTATTTGTAACAACAAATGTGATGAAGATGACTCGTGATAATTTTATCTGTGGAACGGGTTATCGACTGCGGTATCTCCGGACCGATACGACCTTCAAACCTTCAAGAAAAGAGCGTACTCCTTCCTAAAAGGCCGGTAATGCGTTGACTGTGTGGCGTGTGACTCCTGAGTTGCAGACGTTCATAGGCGGCGACGGTCGCTTTCTATCAGGTGACCTGTCTGCTCGTCTGCCCCCTCTGCCATAAAAAAAATCATCTGCTAGAAAAATAGTATTGGGAAAAAACACATACGCCGTATTCCCGTATGGGGGCAGAGACGATATCATGCCATTTTCATCAATTCTGACATACAGCTCATATCTATTTTACATTCATCAGACTTTTAATATACCAACAAACGCACAAACGCTATATCAACCCGTCTGGCCAGCGTGGTATCACATCACACATCAACAGCCTATAACAGTCCACTGATGGACATAGGCCTCTCCTTAGAAAGGAGGTTTTGGCCTACTATACCACGCTGGCCAGACGGGTTGGTACAGGGTTTGTTTCAAGTTTTCCTTCTCTTTGCAGTGCTGTTGTCCCGCGTAATTTGCTCCCTTAGTCCGCTCTTACGACACCCACAGGATGAATAGGGGTGGTGACATTCCGTATTCTTAATCCGTCACCACACGGCGTGGTATAGTAGGCCAAAACCTAGGCTAGACTAAGGATGGGCCTATGTCCAGCAGTGGACTAGTAAAGGCCGTTGAGACTTTTCATACATACCCGACAGTTACAAGCGCTTTTAACGACACTCTTCTACCGTACATCGCTGATATCATCAGTATATGTCCTTCGCCTATTCACAAATCTACTATATAAAAATAAGTCGGGTTTTCCTTCCTGACGCTATAACTCCAGAACGCACGAACCGATTTCCACGGTTTTGCATTCGTTGGAAAGGTCTCGGGCTCCGTGTGGTTTATAGCAAAGAAAATTCAGGAAAAATTTCAACAGAAAAGCGGGAAAATCTTTATTCACATACAGCGCTACAAACCAATATTTTAAGTAGATGGCGCCGGTGCGTGATACATTGTTTGACAGCTACTCATTGTTCTCTGCTCAGTTAATTTCATGTGACAAACCGGTATTGTGTTCACTGTGAAATTGTGAAAAAAAAGTAAAAAAAATAAGTTATTCGTTTCCTAACATTTCAATTGGAAACCATCAAATCAATCACGTGTATTGTGCAAATTTGAAAAACTTTTTTCACATACAGCGCCATCTCTGATACATAGCATGTACTACAAACCGATATTTCAAGTAGATGGCGCCGGTGCGTGATACATTGTTTGACAGTTACTCATTGTTCTCTGCTCAGTTAATTTCATGTGACAAACCGGTATTGTGTTAACTGTGAAATTGTGAAAAAAAAAGTAAAAAAAATAAGTTATTCGTTTCCTAACATTTCAATTGGAAACCATCAAATTAATCACGTGTATTGTGCAAATTTTTATTCAATTTGTCTTCATTGACTTCATCAATTTGTATTCATTTGTCTTTAAGGTGGTAAGTTGAACTGTGTTAATTATGTGGATCGTGCATTTGAGGTTAAATTCACCACTCTGTCCATAGTCCAAAATGCCTAGAGGACGACGTGCGAACATCGGCCGCCGCACAAGACATGCAAGCCAGCAACAAGTGTATTCACAGAATATAAGCGAAGAAAGACAAAATATAATAAAAGAAAATGCCCGATTGAGACAACGCGTGAGCACACGAAGATCATTGGCATCATACAATTGCTTGGCATTCCAATATGATCCCACTGCGAACTACAGTGATGATGAAAATTTAGATATTGGACCAATGACGACTATATGCCGATATTGCAATGCGTTAAAGTTCAAAAGAGAAACGGCTGGATTGTGCTGCGCAAGTGGAAAAGTCAAACTGGATCTATTACTTACACCACACAGCCACTGAAACCATAGTTCGATGGAAGTGATCCCGATTCCAGCCATTTTCTTCAACATATCCTTGAATACAATAACTGCTTTCGCATGACTTCCTTTGGAGCTAATATCATTCGAGAAGGCGGCTTCATGCCGACTTGCAAGGTAAAAGATACAACACACATAACCAATCACTCACACCAACACAATGAATTGCAACACATAACAACTACATATACACCACACACTACACCATCACACGATCAGAAGTTACACCGTATTCTTCAACAAATGATTGTTTGCAATTACAGATACAAGGACAAATATATCATTTACATGGTTCAATGGTGCCAACACCAGATGAACCGCATCAATTTCTGCAAATATATATCATTTCGTCGATGGTGGATCAGCTGAATGTGCGGTGCAATATAGGGAACACAACAGTTAAAGAGACGAATTATTGAACAGTTGCAAGCATTTTTTCACGCTAATAATGCTGTGGTTAATATGTTCAAAACAGCATTGGAACGAATGCCATCGGATACGCACAAATTTGTCATAAGAGCGGATTGTACCCCAACAGGTGAACATGTGCGAACCGTTAATGATGTTTAATGATGATGTTGTGCAAGTACGTCACAAAAGGCAGCGACATGGCTGTGTTTGGTATTGCGTCGGCAAATGCGAATGACGAAATCAGCAACTTCCAAATGGGCAGATACGTCAGTACTAATGAAGCACTGTGGCGATTATTGTCATTTCAAATTCATGAAAGATATCCCACAGTTGTACATTTAGCAGTGCATTTGGAAAATGGCCAAAGAGTTTACTTCACTGAGGCTAATGCGGCACAACGAGCTGAGAGACCACCATCGACAACATTGACTAGCTTCTTTGCAATGTGTGAAGCAGATCCATTCGCAGCGACGCTGGTGTACGTTGAAATGCCCAAGTATTACACTTGGAATCAATCAACAAAGAAATTCCAACGTCGCAAACAAGGAACCCCAGTTCCAGATTGGCCACAAGTGTTTTCCACTGATGCACTAGGTCGCATGTATACTGTTCATCCTAGAAATGATGAATGTTTTTAATTGCGACTGCTGTTGGTAACTGTACGTGGACCAAAATCATTTGCGCATTTGAAAACTGTGAATGGCCACCAATGCCAAACATATCGAGAAGCATGTCAACTATTGGGTTTGCCGGAGAACGATTCTCATTGGGATTTAACACTTGCGGATTCAGTTGTTTCATCAAATGCGTACCAAATACGAACGCTGTTCGCAATTATTATCACCACATGTTTTCCTTCACAACCAATTCAGTTATGGAACAAATACAAAGACGACATATGTGAAGATATCTTGCATCGCTTGCGCATTCAAACGAATAATCCTGACATCCAAATAACCGATGAAATCTACAATGAAGGATTGATTCTGATTGAGGATCAATGCTTGACTATTGCAAACAAGCTACTGATTGAAGTAGGAATTATTGCGCCAAATCGATCGATGCACGATGCATTCAACCAAGAATTAAATCGAGAGCTGCAATACAATGTTGATACATTGCAGGAATTCGTTCGAAATAATGTGCCGTTGCTGAGTGAACAGCAAAAACAAGTATACGAAACATTAATGCAAGCGGTGGACAATAATACTGGTGGTCTTTTCTTCCTGGACGCACCTGGAGGAACAGGGAAAACATTTGTCATTTCATTGATTTTTCCCACTATTCGATCAAGATGTGACATAGCTTTGGGGTTAGCATCATCTGGAATTGCGGCGACTCTTCTAGATGGCGGTCGTACTGCACATTCTGCGCTTAAGTTGCCACTCAATTTAAACACAATTGATACTCCAACATGCAATATTGCGATCCAGTGCAATGGTAAAATTGTTGATGCAATGCAAGCTCATTGTTTGGGATGAGTGCACAATGGCACATAAGAAATCACTTGAAGCACTTAACTTCACACTGAAGGATCTTCGGCGAAATAACAACATCTTTGGCGGCTTGATGATATTGTTGGCAGGCGATTTCAGGCAGACGTTGCCAGTAATTCCCTGTGGAACGCCTGCAGATGAATTGAATGCTTGCCTGAAGGCATCACCTTTATGGAATAACGTAAAAACATTATCGCTAACCACTAATATGAGAGTTCATCTTCAAAATGATCAAAGTGATGCACAATTTTCCAAACAATTGTTAGCTGTTGGAAATAGAAAAGTCCCAGTTGATGCGACATCTGGATTAATTACTCTTACCTCTTATTGAAAATGTTTTCCCAAACATTAGTGAGAATTATCAGAATTATGTTTGGTTAAGTCAACGAGCAATTCTTGCCGCAAAGAATAATGATGTACACGCACTGAATTTCACCGTTCAATCAAAAATCGCTGGCGATTAGGTGACATACAAATCCGTTGATTCCATAACAAATAACGATGATGTAGTAAATTATCCAACGGAGTTTTTGAACTCTCTGGAGTTACCAGGATTTCCACCACATAACTTGCAACTCAAAGTTGGTACAGTTATTATGATATTGCGTAATTTGAATCCACCGCGACTTTGCAACGGTACTCGACTTTCGGTAAAAAGACTTATGCCGAATTTGATTGAGGCAACCATTATTAACGGAAAGTACGCAGGTGAAAATGTATGTATTCCTCGAATACCAATGATTCCGACTGATCTTCCGTTTGACTTCAAACGATTGCAATTTCCAGTTCGCCTTGCGTTCGCAATGACAATTAACAAGTCGCAAGGCCAATCGCTTAGTGTTTGCGGGATAAATTTAGAAAATCATTGTTTTTCACATGGGCAGTTATACATTGCGTGTTCACGAGTTGGGAAACCATCCGCTTTGTTTGTGTTAACGTCAGACCAAAAAACAAAAAATGTGGTTTACCAAAGAGCACTTCAATGAAACGGATAATTTGCGGATACGTATAACGCTTCGATTCAGTATTTACTTTGGATTCACTTTCATTTACTTAGAGAAGTTCAACTAAATAACACTTCATTTTTGTAATGGAAATGAATTCATTACTGTTGTGAAATGAAATAAAATGTTTTCTTTTCAAATATAAAACAAAAAAATAATAATTGTTCTTCTTTTAATCACCAAACGAAATTTTACATAAAACGAAGCCATCTGGTGGCGAAACGGAGTTCGCCGGGTTTGCTAGTGCCTTATAAACTTTTACCCATTTGTTTTCAACTCAACTCGCTCGCTTCGTTCAAAGCATATTCATAGCTGATAATAATATTGCTGTCTTCCTGTAATTTCAAAAGACGTTCTGCATAATCCCTATCAACAATATATCTCAGAAATATATTTATACCACAAGTTATTAGTGTAGTATAATAGATGATAATACCAGGAGTAGAACTAGCCAGCGGTTTACCGGACACTTTGAACATTACCCGCATGTAATGCCCGACGTACAATGTGTTAAGTCATGTTATGTTTGTAGATCAGTACTGCTACCTTGGGTTTCTGCCTACAAAGGTTAGAAAACATTCTACAAAGATTTGTACAGTTTTGATGTCTTGTGAGGTAATAAATGCATGTCTATACGGTCGCTTTTGAAAATTTTGATGTCTATTACAAGATTCAAATTCATTGTTTAAAAGTACATCAAGTTGCCTGAATCTAAACCATATCAGTAGAAGAAAATATTCGTTAGCTTTCGTATCACTTCAATCAGATGTCAAAATAAAATTTAATACCAACAGAGTCTTCAATATCTTCTGCTGCTCTTCAGGTCTTTAGGTTTAGCCTTACTTTTGGACATTGAGAACCTATCATACATAGCAATCTTCCTAACTAGAGTTGAGTAATGCGGGTTCTATTACCATATACGAACAGCTTCTGAGTGTTTTGCAGGGCGTCAACCAAAGAATCCGACATTAATTTGGTGCACGGACATTATCAAGCTCCGTGTGTTTAATAATAAGAGGGTTTAGTCTATTTAAGTATACTAGATATCGCTTATTTTCTTTCTTTTTAAAAGACAATTCTCGCACTAGGAATAAACCCTGTGTCGCGGGGTTCTTTACAAACATACATGAAACGGACACAAAGAACACCCAGACTTAGGACAACAAATTTGTGTATCACACAAAGTGTCGTGTGTCGGGATCGAACCCACAACACTCAGCGCAGTAAGAAGCGGCGAGGTGTCCGCTTAAACCACTACGCCATCCCTGCAGTCAATCAAGTCTGTCGCAGTGATTGGTCGGATGTTAAACAAATGATCGTATGACCAGTATATAACAGTACCATGACAGGTCAATACTGGATTTGTATACAGAAATAAAAATGTTTACGTCTTCATTTCTTTTGTAAATAACCCTTAATTATTCCAAATTTCATCTGCCTAAGTTTAGGAATTCTCTTCAGGTGTTAATATTTATAGTTTCTTAGTAGATTCTTGAATGTAATTTCTACCTATTGTTCTCCCTGCGAACAAGAACCGCACGCTCTATGTACTGGGGTGTGTTCTGCGAATGACGTCGGTCATTTAGTGTTTGTGTGAATGAATGATTATAATAATATTCAGAGCAGCCCCTCTTGTACGAACGCCTAAATATGGGGTCTGTTTATCATACATGTATAGTTCGTTTATTTGTTCGTAAATTACATGTACTGTGTATGAGATTATTATGAGAACGTGTCGTTATTATCAAGCTTTGTTATCCATAGAAAGGACTTATTATGTTAACCAATTTAAAAAATGGTGACGGATCTCCGTCATTTATAAATTGGTTTGGAAAATTTTATTTTATTTGGTACGGTTTGCTTTCCGTTTGGTCCCATGTTTTTACATGAGAATATAATATGCTTTATTGTACACCAGCTACAATATGATAGATTAATTTTACAGATGAATATCATGTAGATACAATGGGTGGTCTTATTGCTAAAAGCAATTACTTACAGGTAACCTTTGAATGACAGTAGATAACGAGAAACAATGGGTAGTCTAGGTCCATTGAAGGTACATTAGTGTAAAAATAAATATATAAACATAAATACACACACATACGTATAAATACATATGTACACAATATAAATACATACAATATAAAGCTATTGAAAGCAAAGACTACTTATGAACCTAGGGAGTGATCCTTGATTATATTCTTAAATTCTGCCTGTGTTTGGGCATGTCTAATGGATATCGGCAAAGCGTTCCATAATCTGATACCCTGCACCGCAAAACCATAACCAACCAGATTAAGGACCATTAGCTCCAAAGATTCCGACGACCTTAAGGATCTTAGATGTGTGTCACTGAGGAACACAAAACCAAACCAAACAACCAAAATAACCCTAAAGATGGCAAATTAAGCAATGATATTAGAACTAGGATAATTTGTTACAGTTCATCATGATTTCGGGGCATTGAAGTTTATTTTACTTTTTAAAGTCTGCATCATCGGACTTTTCAATGAGAATGGCCGATTTGATCATTGGATGCTAATAAAATGCAAGTGATATCTAAGGAATCAATTTATAATCTGACTGTAGTAATGAACATCGATAACCGCAAACAGGAATCATATCTGTACAGTCTGCATACAAAAGCTGCCAAATGTAAAATCATTGTATTAGAAAATATTCATGTTTTTAACAAAATTTGAATTACGTTTAAAATTCAGTACCAAATTATTTATATTATACAATAATTCGGTGTAGTTATTCCTTGGCTGGAGAGCACAAGTGGCTATTTTAACCCAGAAGGTTACAAGAACCTTATCAGCAAAACGCAAACTGAATCCGTGATGTTTAGTGTATTCTTGTGTGCTATTTTAACGCGAGTGCAGATCTGATCCTTTGTTACATCTAGATGTACATAATTACACTACTTCGTAGAAAAAATATAAAAAAAAACTAACAATTAGTTTTAAAAGAAAATTAATTTATTTTTTTATGTGGGTAGAATTAGGTGGGTTCGTTACCCAAGCCCCTATCTGCACTGACGCGCGGAATCTTACGCTTCCCTGGGTAGTCCTTAGCGATCAGCCAACAAGCTTCGAGTGATGTGGTACAGCCAATAATCCGTTGACCCTGTGGCGTTGGCCGGAACTAGGATAGGCCGAAATCAGCCGATGATAATCACCAAGGGTGAACTTAAAACCCCAGACACGGGGTTTATAATATTCACTAGTGTTTTAGTTTTATATTTTCAATTTTTAGTTGAGACGGTAGCAGGAAAAAATAACTGAATAATAAAATTAACGGAATAATAAAATTAACGGAACTTGAATCCGGTTGTCGAGTACGTATTTCTGACAAGCTCACAGCAAGACAACGATGCGTAGAATGTTTCTCGTCGCGCGCACAGAGCTCGCGGACTCCCTTCACTTTCACCGTCCCCCCCGCCCGGCGCCCACGCATCGCCATCGCGAGTGCGGCGGCCAGTTTCACTATATTGAAGTAATGGAGCCACTGACAGTTTGTTTGTAAAATAATATTTTTAATAATTGTATTTAGTGTCTAATTTTAAGACTAGGTTTAAGTTTTATTTAGGATTTAAAATTAATTAGCTATAAGTTATGAGATCAAGCTCGTAAGTGAATAACTGAAACATTAATGCATAGCATTGTAACAGTACCCCCCTTCCCAGCGAAGGATTTTTCCGGGACAGAAAAATCCAAAACACACCTAACGACTAATACATATATGAGGATTACGAGGACATTAGTTTTAACTTTAGGTCTTTAACATGCCAAGCTCCCAAGTTGCGGCCATTCATGTCCTCTAATACATAGACTAGTGGCGACCTTTTCTCTGTTACTCTGCATTTTTCGAACTTGGGTGCCAGCTTTTTACTAAAACGTGCACCTTTATCACTTTGGAAGAAACAGCGCTTCCACACTTCGTCTCCCACATTAAATTCGACGTGTTTACGACGCAAGTTGTAACGTTGACACGATTTTTGGTAGTTATTCCAAAGGGAAACCTGTACTTTATTAAATATTTCGGCTAAGTAGCCAAGATTTTCGGCATAAATATCACGTGGCAAGAACAAAATCTCATTACTATTATCGTTATCAACATAGTGAGAACCACAAGTGACTACCTCCCTACCATGCACCAAGAAAGAGGGAGTGAAACCTGTTACTTCGTTCACAGAATTATTAATGGCGAATTGAATCTCCGGTAGGTGTAGGTCCCAAGTTCGATGATCATCATTCACAAAAGTTGATATTGATGTGATTATAGTCCTATTATACCTCTCAACGTTATTAACCTGAGGAGTATATTTAGGGGTAAATTGTGCGTTAGGTATTTTGTACTTATTTAAGAGTGCTTCCATTTCGCGGCCTGCGAACTGTGTGCCATTATCCATAATTATGGTTTGAGGAATACCATGAACTAAAAACACGTTATACTCAAGGTGTTTACAGACAGCTGCTGCAGTGGCTTGTCGTAGTGGGAATATTAAACAATATTTAGAGAAACAGCAATTAACAACGAAGATATAATTGTTCTGTTTTCTACTAGTAGGTAAAGGTCCGACCAAGTCTATGGAAAGCATTTGAAACGGGCGTGAGCAGTCTTTTGGTCTGCCCATTTTTCCTAAGGTAGTATGAGCGGGATGCTTATAAGCTAAGCAAGTGCTACAGTCGCCAACGAACTTTACTACATCTGCATACATGCCTGGCCAGTAATACTTTAAAAGAAGCCGTCTATAAGTCTTGAAGATCCCTAAGTGAGCCGCCGTAAGATTCGAGTGATTATTATTAATAACATCGTGTCGTGACTCTCTTGGTATAACTTCCTTCCAGCTAAATTCTGATGTGAGCGGATTTTTACTCTTCATGTAACGATAAAGTATATTCCCTTCAATTCTATAGTTAGGGTAATTAGATGGAGAACTAATGCACCCATGATAAATATTAAGGTACCAAGTA